GATTGGTGAGACAATAACATCTTATATTCTTGAAACTGGGATGTGTGAGTTGTATCTTGCTAATCGGTTGCACATTGATAATATGTAAACGCACTAGTAACTTGGTGTTATAAAACATATTGTTGTGTGTGATTTGGTTAGTGAGTGCAAGCAAGCATTGTATCAAAGTTTATCCGTTCCTTTTATCCAAGGTAGGATAAAAGCGATATCTTTTGGGCCCCTCGATGGTTTAGTGATGACAAACATAAATGCTCGGCCGGGCTAGGGCTAATTTGATTTGTTCAATTAGTCAGTCGTCATAAATCGGGAATCGAGAAATAGTACAAAGAGAATGATTTGAAATCATGTCTCATACGATATCTAGAATGGAGGAATATATGATCCCTTATCTTAAGGACACGCATATCTGATAGGATCAGAGTTGACAACGGCTTTGGAAAGCTACGATTGTGGATCAGGATCTGAAGTCATACGCATAATAGTTATTAGACTTATCCAAGTGGGAGACTGTTGGATTAGTGTCTAAGTCCATAACTATTTTGGTATGTACTTGACCCGATGGTGCATGGTCCTTTTGGGTTACCTTCACCAAAGCAACTTGATTGGAGAAATAAATAAAGAGAGAGAGGTTATTATGATTTATTAATATGTTATAAGAATAATATATTAAAGGAGAAATCATATTTGTTTAAGTAATATTGGTCAATAATTAATTAGGAATTAATTTTGTGATCAAGTGTAATTAATTAAACTAGAGGGGCTGATTTGTAATTATGTGATAGTTACAAAATAAGGTAAGGATTATCTTAAATATAGGGTGAACGAATTTAAGGATATAATGCCTTAGAATTCGACTAGGATAAGGGTTTCTAAGACTTATCTTATGGTTACTTGGTGGGCAAGCAACTAGATAAGGATAAGGACTAAAACCCTAATCTTTACACCTATATAAACCCCCTAAGGCTCATGAATTTGTCTAAGCCTTCCCAAGAAGTCCTAAGGACGAATTCCTACCTCTCTCCTCTCTCTTTATACCTTATCCATTTGCTCTTGGTGTTTGTAAGCCATTAGAGGAGTGACACTTGTGACTCTAAGCCTTCCAAAGTCAATTCAAGGAGGAATTAGGATTGTTATTGCTACATAACAATCAAGGTAATATCTTAAACCTAATTATATGTTAATATCGATTTCCATATGCTAGAATTAGGGTTTATAGTCTTGGATTCAAAGCATGTACAATAGAGAAACCTAGATCCAAGCTTTAGGATTTGTATGAGCACATAGGATGTCTTATGACCAAAACCCATCAATTCCAACCCGATGATTGTGGGCCGAGGGTATAGCATCCCGAGGATGATTGGACCCGCAATATGTTGGCATTCCAACCCGATGGTTGAGGGCCTGGGGCATTCCAACCCGATGGTTGATTGGGCCCGTAGTATGTTGTTATTATATGTGTGTTATTGTTGTGCGAGTATTTTGTAGAACTCACTAAGCTTCGTGCTTACAATTGTGGATTTTGTTTCACGTACTTCAGATGATCGCGGGAAAGAGAAGGCTTGGTCGTGCACCTCATCATATTTTATGATATGATTTCTGGGATTCTCTGATGTTATACTATTTCGAAAACAATTTTTAAACAACGAATGGTTTTTGTGATGTTTAAAAAGTTTAGATTTTTCATGGATTTTATGGATGTTACAAATCTAATGTATTAGTTTCAATAAGTATTGCAAATTATACAACACAACACTAGATATTCTAATATCTGGTCTTTGACATTAATACTAAAATTAAAGATTTATGTGACCAATACATTACAGAACCTATAAACATGTATTAATTAACTATATAGAAAATGTAATGTACATACTATACATACCTTCATCACACCGAGGTGGCCCTATTGATATGCGGATCATCCCAAGTAAATAAATTGCCTCAAGATGATCCTTATCTCCTGCATCACCCAAGAAACTCATTTCTAAATCAAAATTGCCCTTACCGAAGCACTCCTTCTGTTAACAGATAAAAACAACACCAATATTAAGACTTATGACACTAAAAATAAGTTCAATCAAATTACATAAAATTACTCAAATTACACATTCCACTCTTTATCTATACATAGATTCAACGTTTTTATGCGTTGCACATTTGTGTGTAAATACATCATCCTTAAGATCTTTGGGATCCATCCCTTCAAACATGTCGAGGGATGCTTGTTTGAACACATCACATTCTTCCCCTGCTGCATACATCTTTTTCGAACTTCATAAATTAAAATATACAATTAATAACTAATAAAAAAAGTTATATTTCATCAACTATACACTCATAGGTTAATGTTTATTGAGAATTATCAAATTATTGTAGATATGATGTCTTTTGCAGATTCATACCCTAATATTACAATCATCCGAGTCAAAATCTCTATTGGTAGATCATCCAACGAACTACAACATCTTGTATTCGACATTCTACTTACGAAATACACATTGCATAAGTTGATTTCAGTTTTTAAGAGAAAACAGGCATAACCGTGAAACACGGTGTAATATGTAAAGAAAATAATTTTTTTTATTTTGTGTAGACCAAAAAGCTTGTTACCATTTTTATTCACTTTCTCTGTATCTAATACGAATAAAGACTTAAAAGAGTAATATATTTTTTGATTTGTATACATTTGGTCATTGAGTTTTTGTGTCCACATTTAACTATTTTACTTATTTCTTTGTCCACATTCAGTCCTTATAACCGAGTACTCTATATTAAGCAAAAAAAGACTTAATAGGGTAATATATTTTTTCAGTTTGTACACATTTAATCCTTAATGTTTTTGTACATATTTAGTCATTATGACCATTTTTTTTAGATTTTGTTCATGACATCATACATGGGACCATCATTAACAATATGTTCTTATACGTGGCTCGTCCTTCACTTATATTGATATCCTAATTCACAAATCGGTTAAATAATGTTGGTTCCCAAGATTTCTCCAAGTGGAAGATGTTTTTGTCTTCGATTTCATCTATCTTCATAACAAACAACGAGTTTTTTTTTATGATTGTTTGCTCTTAACTCGAATTTGCACTTCCAAGACAAAATAAATTTAGGAAGATGCTAAAAGCATTTGCACTTCCAAGACAAAAGAATACACTGTCAAAAAGTTTCATCTATCTCCATAGTAGACAACGAGATTCATTTGTGATTGCTTCCTTTAAACACAAATTTGCATTTCCAATACAAAAAATATCGTTATCCACTATGAAGATAGATGAAACCGAAGACGAAGACATATTATGTTTGGAGAAAACTAAGGAACCAACATTATTTAACCGATTTGTGAATTACATTACTGATATAAGTGAAGAACGAGCTATGTATAAGAATAACTCATTAATGATTATCTCATGTAGGATGTCGTGAGCAAAATCTAAAGAAACCGGTCATAATGATTAATCGTATACAAAAATATTAAGGATTAAATATGTACAAACTAAAAAATATATTATCATATTAAGTCATTTTCCGAATCAACCTGACCAGATATTAAAATGTGGAAAAAATATCAAATGATAGAAAAGAAAAACTTAATAATCAAATGACAAAACTTCATTTTAACAAATGATCCTTTTCGCTAACACCGTTAACATTTAACTGTTAAGTGAAGGGCATTTCAGTCATTTCACAACCACATGGACCATTTATGAAGTTTGCCATATTTAAAAAAAAAAAAAGAAAAAATATAATTATTTAATATTAAAGGGCCCCACCCCCTCTCTCTCTATCTCTCTCTCTCTTTCTCTCTCTCTCTCTCTCTCTTGCTCTCGTTTTTGGAGAACATATGCATCCTCATCTTTTTTGGGATCCACTAAAAACAACACATATGCATATCTCTATCTCTTTCTCTCTCTCTCTCTCTCTCTCTACACCATTGTTTTTGGAGAACGTATGCATCTTCGTCTTCTTTGGGATCCACTAAATACAACACACATACAAACACTAAATCATCTTAACCTTCATCCATATCATCTGCATCTTTCAGCCAGATCACTTGAAACCCAAACAAAGCTACGCTAAATTGACATCTCTTGTTGAGTTTTTTTTCCCCTATATTCAAACACAACTTATTGGCTGATGAGTTTTCCGTTTTGAAGTCCTACGAGAAGAACCCAATAAGGAATTAGGTTGATTCATCACATCCGATGAGATCTGTAGTGGAGATCAGACACCAAACCTTTCTCTCTTATTTTCCTACGAGTTGTTGGCTAGAAAAAATGGCTGTCGGAGTTGGACCAGGAACCATCTTCCAGATTGGGATTTAGGGGAGAAAAAAATGAGTTGCAGAAGATGGAAATCAGTTATCAGTTTCCGTCTGTTTCTTCATGTTTCTTTTTTCTTTTCTTAAACTGCTAAAATATACCAGCTTCCTTGGAATGTAGATGGATTTACTAGAGAAAATCCATCGAATTTGGAGCATCACCGGAATGAATATGGATTCACCCAAATCAGCTTCACCGGACGTGTTCTCAAATTCTTCACTCATGTACAAACCAAAAACCTGATACACCGAGTTTTGATTCCCAGATTTAAACAAATCGATTTCGATTGTATATTCAGTTGTTCATAGATGAACACGATGGACACAAATAGACCTGCAAATTAAATTTTATTTATTTATTTTAAAAAAAGTAATAAAAAATCTCATAAATGGTCCCTGGGTAGTGAAATGATAAAAATACCCCTTACTTAACGACCAAAAGCTAACGGAGTTAGCGAAAAAGACAATTTGTTAAAAGTTTGAAACCACATTGACCATCTGTGATGTTTTTGAACTTAAAAACTAAATTTGATATTTTCGAAAACCAGAAAGACCATTTTGAAGTTTTGCCTAATCAAATATATACAAATTATATACAAATAAAAATATATTTTATCACGATACATAGAACCATATTAAAGGTAATTTGAATCTTTTGCAACTGAAAAGATCCCGCTCACTCAAAGCCTCATCTGAACACCATCGTTTCCCTTTTTGCCCTACTCCTACCATCGTCTCTCTTCTTGCATATGATCGAACACCATAGCCTCCACCTCTTCTGCATCTGCATCTCCGATTTCACATAGCACCGCGACGCCCTCGCACATCCGGCCGACGCCGCACATCGCCGGAGCTTCTGTCGCACCGCACACCGTAGACTCTTTCTGATATCGCTCCCACCTCCTTGAAATCGACTCCCACCATCAAGGTCAGACTTTCGACGCCAAGCTACCACCTCCAACGTCAAGCTCCGACAGCGCCGCCCTCGCCAGTGCCGGATCTAAATATTTAAATTCAAATTCGCGCTTCAATAACAATTCAATCAGAAAAAAAGAGTGCGTTAATGGATTTGGTTCATCGCCGGTGAACATGTCGTTGGAGAAGTTGTTCATTCAATTCTTCGAGCGCAAAGACTGGATCATCGAACAAGCCCAGCAGCAAGCCGATGCGTACACCGAGCAACTTGCTTCTAGGCTCCTTATCGATGGAATTACACCTCCTTCATGCCTTTTGAACCCCAGATTTAACTCTGGCTCTTCGCATCCCCATGGTAGGCATTCACTTATCGTTTTAAGTAGGCACTGGCTGTTAAATTTCAGATTAAACTAGGGGATTGCAGTACTTTTCAAGTTAGAAAATTAGATCATACATGCATGCTTCTCCTTTTTTGTCTACATACATCTTCATCCTGTTGTTTTCTCATTAACTTCATAGGAGGCCATTATCATAATGCATATGTCTACTTATATTTGTGTATTTTGAAATTTAACATCACCGATTTTGAAGTGTTTGTCACTTGGGCATGCGAGATTGGTATTTATTGGGGAAAGCTCTTGAAAGGAGCTAACAATCATTCAGAAGTTTTCTCCATATGGATAATACCTAGACGGCCTTCTAGAATTTTTTAGGGTTTTTCTAGATGAATGGGGGTTTCTTGGAAGATTTTCTGGACGTAGGAGTACAAGTTGCTACTAGTTTATCATTTATGAGTATAAACCCTAAACCCACGAGCATAGTAAGAACAAGGAGCATCAGATTTTTACACTGTGTATTATATATTTTTGACTCCTTCCTGGTTCTATTGTATGGTTTCATGATGATTAATTGTTGAAAGATTGGTGTTATTTTGCAGAGTTGAAAAAAGAAGAGATCATCTCCAAGCTCTTACTTCAACATCCACGGGAGTCTGTTCGCTATTCAACTGGTGGCCCTTTTCTGTATGACAGACCAGTTGTTTCCAGGGGTAATGGGCAGTTACCAAATGAAGTGTCCATGGAAACCCATGCTCCTAACAAAGGTGGCAATGTGACCAATGGACAACCTGTGACACTTGCTTGTCCTAATGTTGACATAGGATGCAGCTTAAACAGAGTTAATGAGCAAGATGACAGTGTTAACTCTCCTCAGAAAGAGCATGAGATGGATGCTAGAATATCAAGCATTTATGCTGCACCAGACACTTCACTTGCTAGAATTCAGAGGTCCAAGTCAAGGCAAAAAGCTCTAGAGCTTCGAACTAGTGCAAAAACTTCAGCCAAGAGTTGTTTAGGTGATGAAAGTAGAACCCGTATTTCTTTTACTGGAGGCGAAGTATCCAAAAGTGATTTCCATCAAGTCACTCAAGATAAGCGCCCTTCAGAACCAGGCATATGCAATGATATCAGTGGAGCAAATTCTGTGGCAGCAGAAGGAAAGGGTAGAACCAGGTTTAGTAGTAGACTTGCAGGGTCTAGCACTTCTGATGAAAAACATAGTTTTATGAATGATCTTTCCAAAACCAATGATAAGGAAGAATTAGATGGTGGTACTCTGGCACAGTCAACAGGTCAACATTCTGGTCATGCTGATGGTGTTATGGAAGGGGTTAGTATTCTTGACATCTCTTTGGGAAGTTATGGAGCCAAAAAGTCAGTAACTGGCAACACACACGATACACAAAGGCAAAGCAAACCTTATTCTGGCAGAATTACCAGGTCTAAGGGTTCAACCCAACAAACTGGTGGGCTAAACAAGTCCTTAGAAGTGGGCACAGCTGCTTCTTACAAACCAAAGGAAGGTAGTATAGGTGCACTTTGTTATTCTATTGGTGATTTGAAGTATGGAGTTGATGCCTCCAACAAGTTACTAGATGCAGTCAAAACTTCTCAGGGTTGCAGTGATAGAGTTGGGGAGACACAAGTTACTTGTAACAGTAAAGATGTAAAGAAGTCTGTAATTTCCTCCAATATTGCTACTTCTCGAGTTACAAATTCCAAGTCTGAATCTATGAAGGAATGTCCACATGTTGCTAACCACAGAGAAGATGGTGAAACTGTTGTGGGAAATGGGCCCATAGATGCTCCAGTTGCAAAGCAGCCTGTAAATTCTGTAAAGAAGTTGGATCCTGTCACCATGTGCACTGAATCAGATGGTTTAGCCTTAAACCAATCTTCTGAGTGCTGTATTCTTGTTAAACCTAAGCAACTGAACTTTGATGAAATGGATGGATGCGATTCAAATAAAGTTAGTAGTCTGCTTTCCAAGAAGAGAAGGCTGGATGGATTGTTGGGACATGAATGCAATCCCTTAATGGATTCAGCTTCATTAAAAGATCAGAAATCCAGTGGTACATTCTTTGAGCAGCAGTCAAGCCAATCGAAGTCTGCAAGGATACATTCTCAAGAGGATTTTGATGTGTGTACAAATATGGAGACAATGAATATTGGTTTGGATATGTTTGAGAATCCAGTGGTGGAGGATTGTATGCTTTCCAAGAAGAGAATGTCAGATGGATTGTTGGGACAGGAATGCATTCCTTCAATGGATTCTTCTTCATCAATAGATCCTAATTTCAGTGGTACTTTCATTGAGAAGCAATTACCAATGGAGAATGTAGAATCAAGCAAATCAAAAGCTTCAATGACACATTCTCATGACAATTTTATTGAGTGTGCAAATGATGAGACAATGAATATTGATTTGGACACGAATGAGAATCCAATGGTGGAGGGTGGTATGCTTTCCGAGAAGAGAATGCCAGATGGATTGTTGGGAATGGATTCTGCTTCATCAATAGATCATAAGTCCAGTGGTACTTCCATTGAGCAGCAGTTACCAATGGAAGATGTAAACTTAAGCCAATCAAAAGCTGCAAGGACAAATTCCCATGACAACTTTGATGAGTGTGCAAAAGATGAGATGATGAACATTGGTTTGAACATGGATAAGAACACAATAGGGGAGGATGTTGAACACGACCCTAAGGTTTCTCCACATGTTGATGATGCTGCTGTTCTTTGTGAGGTAAGTGTCACTTCTCAAAGACCCAAAACTTGCATTTCAAAACTTATACTCATGATATGTAGGATTTATACTTGAAATTCATTCCTTTTAGTTTTTTTCAACAAACATTTTAGCACGCATTGAGGTTTCTCATCATAATCTACCTTTTGACCCCAAATTTACAAACCCTATTTGCATTCCAACCATCAAGAATGTAACTGGAAACCCATTCCATTGAGATGTTACTTGAAATTGGACAGAATATATGTATATAACCCATTTCTAAATATCAGTGTAAGATATACCAAACATGGATGGATATATCTAAAGAGTTTACACACATCCCTTACATAACCAATACCATATATGCTTTTCATTTCTCATTTCGGTAATATAGTTGCAAAAATAACACAAAACATTCCGTTTCCAACATTATTCAAGCCATATTCATCTTTTGTGATAGGTTGATGTTCATGATGAAAATGCTTCTGATGATTATATACCTGTCTCTGAAGATCTCAAGCAATCTATTACTTCATGTTTATCCAAACAAGGAGAGAAGGATTCTGAGGATTGCTTGGATCTTGATCCTTCAAAATCCAATTGTAAAATGAATTCTGCCAAAGTGAATACGTGGCCACAGGACCTCCACAGAAATGCTGATGACCGAAAAAAATGCTTCTCTGATTCCAGACATGTTCAAGGTGATGCTATTCATTGTGATCTTGAAGCATCTGAAAATGATTTCCATATCTCCCAATCAGATGGCATTATTCAGAGCTTTGAAAAGCGAGTTCATGATGAGATGGAGGTTCAAGCTACAGAGGTATGAATGTTCTACTAATTCCAACTTATGCTTAAGTGAACTATTAAAGACATTTCCCTTTATTTAACATTTTTCTCTTGAATTTTCTTATCACAGGCAACTGTTGCTGAAGTGGAGGATGATACACTCAAACAGTCTAGACTAAGTTTGATCAAAACAAGTAATGATGATGTTGGTGTTCCTGTGGTTGACTCTGATGAAACTATGCCTGAGTATGAGGGTTTTACCATAGATGAAAAGGAGCTGGAAAATGCTGAAGGAGGTGGTGGAATAGATTTTGACAGGCTGGAATTGCCAAGCTCCCCAATCAAAAGAGCCAGCCTTCTAGCACAAATCTGCAAATCTGCTAGCATGAATACACCTTTTTCCAAGTTTTCATCTGCTACATTTAATCAACATCAAGTTCAAGACCTGTATGGGATCATCCTTGATGAGGATGATTTCAAAAAGGATACTGATATTTCAGGAAGTGATTGTGGTTACTCTTTTCCAACACAGCAGCAGACTTTTGATTCACTTCCATTTTCTGGCACTCCATTTAATTGGGAATCAAAGAATTATTATTCCTCTCCTGTTGGTATTGGAAAGCTCTGGGACAGGTCAACATCAAGTTCAGCCAGTTCAGAGAATCGATTAAGCTCAAATCCTGAACATACTTGCTTCCCCATTGAAGAAGATGAAGATCCTAACAGTAATGAAGAAACTGAAAATGATGAACTTCAAGCAAATGAACAGACAGAAATGGAGATTGTAACAACAGAAAATGATGATGAGGTGGAGGTTAGAATTGTTCCGAAAGTAGAAAATCAACTTGCTGAAAGAGAACCACCCTCTGGGCCCATGAAATATCGCGATAGATGTAGTTCAAATTCTGTGAATATACAAGTGAACATCCCTAGGACTAATGATAAGTTAAAATACAAGTCCAAATTTCATCCTGGAGTTAGCCGGACCCCATCAGTTTCCACACGTGCCAGTATTAGAAGGAATGCATCCCTTCAGACTCAAAACAGTAAAAATATGAGAAGTGCAATAAAAAGGCCAACACAGCGTAACAATATTGTATCAAATGTGACATCCTTCGTTTCTATTGTCCAACAAAAACAAGCAGCTGCAGTTTGCCCAGGTAGATAAAATTTTCTCTCTATCCCAAAGCACGTGAAATATAAAAAAAATAACCTAATGTCTGTGTGTGTGTTTGGTTGTTTTTGAAGGTAAGAGAGATATAAAAGTGAAGGCTCTGGAGGCAGCTGAGGCTGCAAAACGACGTGAACAGGAAAAGGAAAATGAGAGGAGGATGAAGAAAGAAGCATTGAAGATTGAGAGGGCAAGAGTTGGGAAGGAAAATGCAAGAGAAATGGAATTAAATAAAAAGAGAAAACTGGAGGAAATGAAGAAAAAAGAAGCTGACGTGGCAGCAAGGAAAAAACAAAGGGAGGAAGATGAGAGAAAGCAAATTGCTAAAAAAAGAAAGATTGCTGAAACACGAAAAGAGCAGAAAGCACAACAACATGAAAAATCACGACATGTTGGAGTTGCTGGTGGTGGAAGTAAAAAAGGATCTGAAAATAAAAATGCTTTTGATGAAAAGGGTTCTCAAAGACATGAGAAAAGCTTAGCAGCAGACGTCATCTTCCAACAACTTACACCTTTTCCTGAAAAGGTATGTATCCTTTTTACCAATATAGGGGCATTATTATACTGTATGAGTAAAGTAGGCTGCAATTTATAATATATTACCTACGATGATCAACGTTATTAATTACAGGATAAGGAAACAAACGTACTTGAAAAGTCACCTGGACATGTGGGATCGGTGATGTTGACTAGTCAAGAAAAATCATATGACATTTCCCCATATCAATGCTCTGATGAAGAAGATGAAGATGAAGAAGAACTACCCACCAAAAAGTTTATTCCATCATGGGCCAAGTATATCTTTCTATCATTATATCTATGCTTTTTTTGTGTGTGTGTAATGAAAAGATATTCATTTTTTTTTTTTTTTTTTACTACAGTAAAAGAGCTGTGGCGATGGTTCTGCCAATGCAGGAGAAGGTTGACCCGGAAACAATATTTCCAACAGGAAGCTTTTGCAGTATGGATGAAGGTAACTAACTATAAGAAGTGTTGAGTATCTTTTTATGAGACTTGGTTTGGTTAGATAGATAAAGAATTAAAGATTGTTAGCTAATGGTTATTGGTTATGTGCTTGCAGTTGTCCTTCCTCGGAGGCTACAGCAACAATAGCTTGCTGATAACAAAAGGTATTGTCTTTCTTTTTCGTGCTTTAGTCAAAATATTCGAGTAAAATGCAAATTTGGTCCTTGTGATTACTGATTTCTCTTGGTTTAGGTCTGAAGGATTTTTTTTTTTCTTTTTCAGGTTTCATTTCCGTTGTGCTCCATACCTTGAGTTTAAGTCCGGCAAGCCCTAGTAAAATGACCATATTACCCTTATTATATAAGTTTTTACTAATAATAGTAAAAAATAATGGAAAACACAAGATGGAGGGTACAATGATCATTTTACCAGGAGCTAATTGTCTTAAACTGACGGTGTGGGACTAAACCCTAAATGAAACCTGGAAATAGGGACCAAAAGTGAAAAAAAAAAGGTTCAAATTTTGGACCTAAAGTACAGAAAATTACTAAACCAAAGGACATTGGATTTGCAGGTTGTTTTCGTTCTTTTATCAGTTTATGAATCATGACATGCATGCTTTTGATTGTTTGACAGATTTTGATCCTGCAAGCATTCCTGTAGGAACTATATTGTGTATTTGAGAAAACTTTCATGCATACAATTCATATGCAGATTGATCATCTATACATTTAACTTTTGTTTATCTTAATATGTCAATATATATGTATGTGTAGGATTCCATTTCTAGTATTCATGGTGGTGCACGTTTTTCTTTGCTTAGTTGTTCATTCTCTGAAGCCCTATGAAATGAACGTCTGTAGTTGAATCTTTCTCAAGTTGTAAACTTGTAATTACTTTCATCCAAATGGTTATATCGATGTGGATTGTTGAAATATCGTTTTATGTGTCATTGTATTAGAAAACTGAATGTTTTTAGGAAAATAAATGATGGGGATAATCACTAAAATGATCAAAATTGGAGGATATAATACCATTTTTAGTTGGTAGACTAGAGTTAAAGGCGTATAGTTGCAGGTTATTAATGATCCTAAATTATAAAAGAATTTATTTAAAAATAAAGATATTATTAATATCCTAAGTCCTAACACAAAAAGTAAATAACCATAAAAAAAATTAAAATAGTGTTTAAGCATTTAAGTTATGAATTATCATATATTAAGCTCAAAGTGAACAATAATGTGGATTAAAAAAGTACTAATCAAAGTGACATGCTTTGTGTGGATTAAAGAAGTACCAATCAAAGTGACATGCTTTGTGTGGTGGGCAAAGTTAGGATGAATCCCCACTACCTCGACTCTATTCACTCGAGGTATCAGTCTTCCCTCTACATCTTGCTACCAATGTGGACATAATGATGAAACAAACATCCATGTATTAGTGCAATGCCCATTTGCAAAAACTCTTCTGAAAAGGATATTTCACTGGTGTCAAATAGCATTGGTAGACTTTTAGTCGGTAAATGAGGTTCTAGATTATGCTTCAAACTGGGGAAATTGCCCAAAAAAGAAGAGGAGACTAATGGCCATCTGTTATGGGACTTTATGGTCTATATTGAAGACAAAGAATGAAAGAGTATTCAACAACAAAAAGGTGTGTGCCACGAAACGTGTCGATATCATTATATCATCGACTTTGTAACACCCAAAGTCAGGAAAGCCAAGAAAGGAAAGAAAACCCTAAGTTTAAGGGACGACTCGACAAGTCCAAGGAGGAACTCGGCGAGTCCGAGCGGGATCTGGGTCAAGGAGTAAGTGACCGACTCGGCGAGTCGGCTAAGGAGACTCGGCGAGTCTGGTCTAAGCGAGGAAAACCCTAAATCCGGGACTTGGAGCCCATTTAAACGTCTCATTCTCTCCTCTAGGGTTCCTTTACCGCCTCTTTCACCCAGAACACCGAACCCTAAGCCCTATTGTTGCTCTTTCAAGCTTCCAAACCATTTTTGGGTGATTTGAAGGAAGAAGAAAGAGGAGAATCATTGAAACTTCAAGGATTGACCTTAGATCTGGAGTTTGTGGAACCTTTCTGAGTTATTGAAGGTACTAAGTCGTTTCCTTCATTTAGATCTTTTCTAGTTGTGAGTTTTGGGGCTTTTTAGCCATGATTACTTATCCATTTGAGTTAGAAGCCAGATCTGAAGTTGCTACTTCGGATCTAAGCACATTTTGGCCTTGTGAAGCATAAAGTGACTGCCCTTGAGCTGATTATGGAGCCTCCTTGCCTTAAACCCTAGTTTATGGTGTATTTAGCCTAGATCTCCTTCTTTACACGTAACGTTTGCAACTTTACGTGAGGAATAGGCTTGGGAAGGGCAGCTCTACAGTTTGGAGTCCATGCATGACTCAAAAGTCCTCTGCATGTATGAAGATCTGAATGGACTCGGCGAGTAGCATGAAGATTAGGAGGAACTCGACAAGTGGGATGAACAACTCGTCGAGTAGGATGAAGGTTGCCTTGGACTCGACGAGTCTGTTCTTGGACTCGGTGAGTCAGGACACGAAACCCCAAACCCTTCGAGTTGAGACTCGAATCAGTGAGTCGAGTGGAGACTTGGTGAGTTGGAAAGGTCAGGACTCGAAAATCGGTAGACTCGGCGAGTCATGGACTTACTCGGCGAGTTGAGTCGCGAATGGAAGTACTCTGAGCATATGAACTCGGCGAGTCAGTAGGCAGACTCGGCGAGTAGGGTTGACCAGGAAGGTTGACTTTGACCAAGACTTTGACGTTGACCAGAGTTGACTTATTTGACTCTCGGGGGACAGTTAGACTAAGTGTTACATTGATTTTGGTAACTCGGGGAGCTAGTGGAGCAGGAGTTCAGACAGTTACTGGGCAGCAACTAGAGGGGTTATCAGCAAGTTCAGCAAGAGCAGGTGAGTTTCCCTTTGTGTGAATAGGTCTAAGGCCACAATACTGACCCATGTAGTTATGAGTAGAAGGTCCGGGGGTTAGCCCTAGGCACAGTATGCTAGTATGATATTCAGGACGAGGTCCATTAATAGCAGGCGGGTGCCTAAGGATTTGTTTATATGATAGTTTATACTTGTTGTCTGTGTGATACATGTATGTGCCTGGTAGGGAGGTGAGTGTGGGCGATGTCCTGTATCTCACCAATAGCAGAGTGTGGATGGTGTTCCACAACTCATTAGTAGCAGAACAGGGGCGAGGCCTAAGTTAGGGAAGGAGTGAGAGTGGGATGGGCCAGTATCTGATTACCAGTAAGAGCGTGGACGGGATTCCATGACTCATCAGTAGCAGGACAAAGGCGAGGCCCAGGATAGGCGAAGCCCTAGGACAAGATCCATTAGTATATGCTAGCTTATGTGTTGCAGTATGTTTATGTGGTATTATATGTTAGTGGGCGAGGCCTAAGTGAAACAAATCTGTATCTGAGCGGGGCTCGAAGCCAGGCAGGGCCTAAAGCGGCGGGGCCCGAGGCAGGGGGCGAGGCCCAGGATAGCGGGCGTGGCCCAGTATGTGCAGTACGTGGTTATGCATGGTATGTGGTAGGGTGGGGAACTCACTAAGCTTCGTGCTTACGGTTTTCAGTTTTGGTTTCAGGTACTTCCGGTAGCGGAGGGAAGAGCTCGGGGTGATCGCATGGCACACACCATAGATTAGATAGTCTGAGAAAGTTTACTCTGATAACGAACATGTGTTTGGAAATTAATACTCTGATTATGTTTTGGAATGATGACTTTGCTTTAAGTAATGTTTTATTAAAAAGAAATTTTTAGTCTTAAATTTTGGGTCCTTACAGACTTTGTTATGGTTTAAGCATAGAAATGAAAAAAAAACGATGTCATATGGCCAAAATGGATTTCATATCCATTTAGTAACATGTAATGGTCTTTGTATTACTCTCTTAAACTTGTACTCTGTTTCCTCTTAGCTTCTTGTCTTAGCTTCTTGCTGGGTGGGGTTTGCTTTTCATTTATTTATGACAAAATTGCAAAAATGGTCCATGTGCTTGGCAAATTTATGCGATTTTGGTCCAAAACGATACCTTGATGCACCACTAGTCCAATTTTGGATCTTTTTATTGTTTTTGGTCCCTACACACTTAAAAAGATAGATTATGTACATTTTTCATTTTTTTAATGCTGAAGTACATAAATTAATTTAATTTATATTTTATTTATATTTTATTTGTCTTTTCTCTCTCAAACACACACACACATACAAGAAATATATCACCCCTAATGGATGCCATCATCACCACTGACTGCAACCACCAACAGTTACCACCGTCCGCTACCATCTTGCATTCCTCAGACCTCGATGAAATTTACCCACCGACACCACCCTTCTAATCGGAGTTGTCCCCACCCAAATACCGCCACAATGATCTTTCAATGAATTGGGTTTTTAGCCGTCACAACCACCGTCACAAAAGATGATGCCATCGTCATTTACCACCATCGTTGTTCTCCACTACTATTTGTTGACAACCACCTCCATCTCCCCCCCACCCTCAACTTTTCTTCCTTAACGAGATGATCTTTCACCACTGACCACCAAACCATCGTTCATCGGATTTCTTCCAACTGCCTCTCCCTCCAAGAAAACCTAAAGCACCAGACGATCGATGGTTTAAAAAAAGACGAATTCGATTTGAAGGGTTTTATCACCTCCCTCTTCTTCCTCGAGTTTAAATCTGTAGATCGATATGTTTAAAGAACAAATCAAGTATGCTGCTCTCGTTTGCAGATCTGGAAACGAACATTTAGAGCTACCATAGAAGACGAAGAGGTGGTGGTAAGTAGGCAAAGTCGCTTGAATTTACATCTAAGTCACAATCCATCATCATGGGAGTTTGCTAGGGGTAGGAGGTTTTGCATAAGCAGGGGGTGGAGAGAGGCATGTGGGTCTTCGATTATCAGGAACAGAGAGAGACGTTATTGCTAGGGTTAGGGTTTGAGAAAGATTGATGAAGACGGGTGGTGGGTTCTGTGGAGATTTGAATATGGAGAAGAAGGGGTTGCTTCCGATTCGTAAACAAATTGCAAATCCAAAATTGGCAAAATTTCATTCACATTTATGTACTAATCAAAACGACTTTCGTTTGGGAACAAGGATATGGGTCATGGGGATGAAGAACATAATAACAGGAGAGAGAGAGAGAGAGAGAGAGAGAGAGAGAGAGAAGAGAGAGAGAGAGAGAGAGAGAGAGAGAGAGAGAGAGAGAGAGAGGATGAGAGGGGTGGTTTGCTTTTTTTTTTTTCTCTTTTTTTTAATTAGAATAATTAGAAAAGAAATTATAAATTAAAAAGAAAATTATTTAAGACCAGATTTGTCATTTCAGGTGGAGTATAGACCAAAACTACATATAAATGCCAACCAGAGGGACCAAAACCACACAAAGTATCCAAAATTGGACTATTGATGCACCACTAAACTTTTTTGGACCAAAACTGCATAAATTTGACAACCATAGGGACCATTTTTGCAATTTTGTCTTTATTTATATATATCTCTTTTGCCAGTTCAAAAAAAAAAAAAAAATTTCACGAATAGAATAAACCATTGTTTATGAAGCAATGATAAATGTATAAGCTTTACAATACCTTATAATTTGGAAAAAATTATTAACTATAAAGTTTCTGTTATGGTACTTTTATAAGGTCCTTAAATTTTTTTTTTAACCCCATTAAAGTGGAAAATTACCTGCTAAAAAAGGCAACTCGTGGTGTTTTAACCGGTTATAACGTCAGTTAACAAAAGTTGTTGCTTACATGTATGATTAGTCTACATGTGTGTTTAGTCAGCTTCCTATATAAACTATATAAGGGTTGAAGGCTAAGAGATCAAGCCTCACAACCTTATTTCCCTCGTACGAACACTTCCAATAATGTCATCGAGCTC